TGCAACACCAGTAACTTCCCCAAACTGCTATTTAATCCATCAGGTCACATTTCTCCACCTCTTAGCAGTGAGAGTTTCATTCTCAGAGTCTTCATTCTGCCACTTGGCCTGAGAGGGTTAAGGGCAGGAAGCAGAACCAGCTCAGAGTGAGGTTTTTTTGGGGGCTTAGCTCAAGTGTAATAATCAACATGGTTTTAATTCTGTGGTTTGGGATAATCACAGAGCTCCAGAGCACAAACTGAAGGAGAATTGAAGATGGAGTTAAACCAAATGTTCACATAGCTACACCAAGGAGGTGGAAACATCTCTGTGTTTCACACTTGGAATTCAAATCCTCATAAAAACCTCAGGCCCCAAGGCAAGACAAGAGAGAGAGAAACTATTCCCAAGGGATGGAGGGACAGGACACAGGGAATGGGTTCCCACTGCCATTTCTCCTGTTCCACTGTTCAGGGACAGATGGAATATTGGGAAGGAATTCCTCTCTGGGAGGGTGGTGAGGGGCTGGGATGGATTTCCCAGAGCAGCTGTGACTGCTCCATCCCTGGGAGTGTTCCAGGCCAGGCTGGATGGAGCTTGGAGCATCCTGGGCTGGTGGAATGTGTCCCTGCTCATGGCAGGGGGTGGGATGGGATGGAATTTAAGCTCCTTCCAACCCCCAGCATTGTGGGATTGAGAAGAGAACACACTGTGCAGCAGCAGTTTCTTAAACAGCAGTAACTTTATTGCCCACAGATAATGCAAACAGTTTCCAGACTTGCTGCAATTCAGCAAGTTTCCTACTTAACAAGGTTCACAAAAAAAAAAACCTATTTCTTTTGGAAGTACCCTAGTGTTCTTTGAGCAGATTCTCACTTCAGGTGTTTATTATTGCTCAAATCTACAGTCTGGTTGTGATTGGCCACTCAGTCATGAGATATGCAGAGTTCAAGCTGATATTTCAGGCATTTGAACTAGAAAATATACCTGTTTGTAGGCTAGAAAACAATCCAAAAGAGCAATACTGGAATTTCTGAGTCCAGACTTTCTTTGGGCACAACTAAAGCAGAATGGAATATCCATAGAAAAAAATACTGTACACTGATTTGGAGAAATACCATCTGAGCACAGGTTTAGTGTTCACACACTGAGGATGGTTCTAAAACATCCCAGAAATAAATAGGACAAATGTCACTGGGTTACACCAAAGAAAAGCTTTGAAGGCAAAAAAAGAGAAATAAACCCAAAACCAACCCTGAAAACACCTCAAGGAGTCCAACACATTCCTGCAAACAGTGATTCACTGACTGTAGCTCTAGGGCACCTCCCCCAAAAATGGGGATCTCCTCATTTCTCTCCAACGAGAGCAAATGTCCTTACTTCTAGAACCAGGTCCTGACAGAGGGTACATTTTGGAAGGAAAAGGAGGAAAAAGTGTAGCCAGGGCTTGACCTTGGCTCTGTAAAGCTTTTTCCTGGCTGGCAGTATCCCAGCAAGGGGCAGGAGGACCAGGAGCTCTCCCTTCACCCCTGCAAAGAAGAGGCTGCACAAGGGTTAAATTTGAGTTTGCTGCCATTTCCCCCCACTCCTCAGCCTCCTGCCTTAAAAAAAAAAAAAAAAAAGGAATTTGGATTGAAAGGCAACAGTAAACCACACACAAATGGAAAGAGAAAGTTTTGCTGCTTTCAAGTCAGTACAGCAAGGAAATCAGAGAGAGGTATCAGGGGAAACTGCCATTCCACAAGGGTTCATGTGGACAATAACACTGTGAGCGTGGACTTAATGCACCAAAAGCCACGTGAGAAAGTAACAAAAACGTGATTTGGTGTGTTCTCAACAAGAGACATTTAGCAGCACAGATCAGAGGGATCTTTCCTCCCCTCAGCCATTCCAAATCCTCCTCCCTTAACACTGCCAGGACACCCCAACCCCACTGCTGAGTGCCAAAAGGATGCATATCTCTTCCAAATGGCCAAATTCACAAGCAAAAAACATTTAAACCAGAACTTGTTTAGCTCTACATTTATTGCAGCTATGAAAGGCTTCACGATGCTAACAGGTTTACTTACACGCAAAGGAAATGTCAGTTCTCCAGAACATAAAGCATTTGCCACTAGCTCAGCACTGCTGCCAATCTGCCACAGAAACCAGCCAATTCTCTACAGGGTTAAGGGCAAAACCCAACCAAAAGACAGCAGACACACCACTGAAGTTAGTTAAAATGTTCACTGAAGCTTGAGGTCTTCATGGAAGAGAGCCTGGAACTAAAATAACAGAAAAGAAGCTAGTAAACCTCCACCAGGGCAAAGGCATCTGCATAACAAACGTTTCACATGTACAAAGTATTGCAAAGTGCCTGCAAAAGCAGGTCCAAATCAAAGGGATTCCCTCTGCCAGAGGAGGGGGAGCTCAGCTCTTGGCAAAACAAGATCAGAGTGGCAAAGGGAACTCCAACCCACTTGGGGAGCAGCACTGGAATCTCAGCTCCAGTCAGGTCGTGTCCAGGGTTAAGAAAGACAGAACATGCTACTTCCATCCGGGGCAGAAGGTTAGGATTAGCCCAACCTTTATTGTCAAGCAGCATCACACTCCAAACTGAACTCCCTCAGGAAGGATGGGAGTGTTTTCCAGCAGCTCTCCCAGCAATGCACCCCAAAAGGTGCTGTGCACACTGAACTGGGTCAAAGCAGAGCAGCACACGGTGCTGGGCTGGGCTGAGAGTGGATTTCAAGCCAGCCTGAACCTCCACCTTGACAGTAATGCAACACATAATCAAGAATCTTTCCAAAACATGACTGGGAAAGAAGAGGTGAAGTAGAAGTTTTGCAGAGAAACACAAACTGTGAACAGCAACAGTGGCAGTTTCATCCCTGAACTAAAAGACAAGCTAAACCCTTTGGAATGGAGCTGAGGAATAAATCAGAGGCCAACGATGCTGGGTACAGAGTTACTCAAACCAGACTTGGCACTGAGAGATCTCTGTGGGGAAAGGCTCAGGTTTGACACTGCTGGTTAGGCCCAGGGAAGAGAGAGGCAGTGAAAAATACACCCAAAGCAGCAAAGCAGCCACTGCCAAACCCTGAGGGATGATCTTCTGAGCAGCCTGTGGTCCAAACCATCAAGGGTTCCAACATCTTGAGCTCTCACCTCTCCTTAAATCTGACAACCAGATCAACTTGGCTGTACTTCTCCCCCTTTGTGCCTCAGCTTCTTGCACTGTGGAGGTGAAGACACAGGTGATGCTCACAGGAAAACAGATCCACTGGTTTATTTTTCTGTACTTTTGTGGTGTTATTCAGTGATTTTTGTGCTTCAAGGCAACTCAAACTGAGTGAGGAGAACATTACACACCACCAGGATTTGTTGCTCGTGGTTTCAAAGACAGCAAAGCAAAAAAAAAACCATGTTGCATTAATGAGCTAAAACTGGTTGTTACAAGCCAGGAAAAATTGCTGCTCTAGACTGCAAAGGAAGACACTCCCATTTCAGGCAGTTTTGAATGGAGGAAGAGTATCACTTTGCTCTTTAAACAGCAGGCACAGGCAAGTTGAGCACTAAAGAACATATTTAGAACACATTTTCTTGCATATTTGTCAGGAACTTGAGCTGCTGCCACGTTCCTGTGGGTGCTCTTAGTGGTGTGCCACGAGCTCCAGCAGGATGGAAAGAGCAGTGAGGCAGCAAAACACCAGAGCAGCTCTTTAAGGGCAACTCCAGGGAGGCAGAGTTGGGTCTGCAACAGCCAAGTGAAGACTTGGGACTGGTTTGAGCCAGGGCAGTGATGGAGAAAGCACTCAAAAGTGCAGTGTTCACTTCTGTCCCTCTCAGTAAAGTGACCACAGATCCCTCAGTGAGCTGCAAGGCAAAGATGAATGAGCAGAGCTTGGGAACGCTGTTCAGTCTTCCATGTCTTCAGAGCTGCTTCACCAAGCAGGGAATGCTTTGGGCTGCTTAATCCAGTCTTCTCTTTCAGTGGGTTCTGGAACAGTTCCTTAAAAGTACAAGTTTTTTTGTCTTGTCTTGGGATTTTTCAATGCAAGAACTTTGCAAAGGAAATAGTGAACAGAAATCACTCTCTAAGCTGATGCTCTCATAAAACTGATGCTCCACTCTCAGCTGCTTTCCAAGTATTTTCTTCAACACATGAACTGCACCTGCTCAGGACTTAAAACTCCTCTTAGAAGGCAAGAAATCCTTCAAGAATTTCTTGGAGAAGAGCTGCAAATTTGTGCCAAAACAAAAAGGACACTGAAAAATGCACTACTTGCTCACCGCAATGAGAAACCTTCAAGCTGAGGTTCTCAGGGAAGAGTTTAGTGTTGGTAGACTTGGGTTACTCATCCTCACTCCAAGTCTGGACTCCTACCCCAAACAAACACACAGGTGGAGACTCTTCTCAAAACTGGTATGTGGAGGAGAAGAAACTGCTTTATGCAGGAGGAGACTGGAAGCAAAATGCAGTGTAATAAATCTGAACTGCCTTGTGAAAGATCTGAATTGAAGCAGGTTCTTGGTGTCAGAAAGGATCAGAACCAAACCACACTAGTCCTGTTCTCCATGTTGCTTATTCCACCTTTTGCTTAGCCACCTCATCCCCAAACCTGGCCAAAGAAAGAGGTAAACAGGCACTTCCCAGCACAAAACCAGCTGCTCCTTCCTCAGAAGATGACCCCCAAGCTGTTAGCTTGCACGAGACAAGACTAACTTGAACCTTGGAGATTTTAATCCATTAAATATTCAAGTTCCACTACTACAGAACCAAGTGCTCTTCACACTGGCACACTCTGCTGAAGATCTTTCCCACAGCAGCTTTGCTTTTCCATGTGCTTTAGAGTCTCTTATGGCCAACCTAGAAAGCAAGATTTGGGGTAATTCAGCAGTTCAAAGCACTTGAGCAGCTCTGGATTCTCCTGACACCTTAAGACCCAGACACACTCATGGAAACAGCAATATTTGTGGGGAAAGGCAGACTGCAAAGCCCTGGGATTTGGCAGGAATGCAGAGGTGGCCGTGGCACATACCTATTTACTTGCTCTTTTCTGCCTGTACATTTGTATCATTCTCTGACGGAAAACATCAAATGCATCTTCTTTATTTTCTTCCCCTGCAACACCCAAGCCCTCCCCTGCAGAGGTAGCACCCCTAGGGAGCAAAATGGACAGTTAGAACACTCTCAGCCTGGGACAGAGGAGAACTAGAAAGTTAGTTAAATGGGTGGAGGGAGAAATAAACAGTTTCTGCTCCTTATTGAGTCAGGGAGTGAAGGAGATGTTAGCCATAAGGAGGTATTACCCTTAAGGAGATGTTACCCACAAGGAGGGATTATCCATAGGGAGGTATTATCCATTCTCTGGCAGCAGTGGACACTGGATACAGCAACTTTAAATGACAAAATAGAGGTTAAAACCCCAAAGTAGTTCTGAGAGGAAGGAACACACTTACCTTCTGGCAGTTGCACTTACCTCTTTCCATAGGCAGTGGAATAAATCACATCATGAGAGTGACAATAACTTTGCTGCCTAACTCTGTGTGTGACACTCCTCAGTTCTACCTACATTTCTGTGCCTGATGCGTTGTCAAGGAGATCCTGAGGACAACATTGTGTGCTAAACCCCTGACAGAGCTCCTTGGAGCATCCCAGCCCTTTCCAGAGCTGCCAAATCATGGATTCACACAATCACCAAGGTTGGAAGAGACCTCTAAGATCATCAAGTCCAACCATTAACCTGTCCCTGCTGAAACCCCTAAACCAGATCCTCCAGTGCCACATCCAGAGGCCTCTTACACACCTCCAGGGGTGGTGACTCCACCACCTCCCTGAGCAATATCCCAGTGCCTGAACACCCTGACAGAGAAAACATTTCTCCTAACATCCAACCTGCTTCTGCCCTGGCTCAGCTCAAGGCCATTCCCTCTATCCTCTCCCTGCAGCCATGGCAGGACACACATCCCTCACCTCTCTCCACCCCGGGCAGGGAGTTGGAGAGAGCCAGGAGGTCACCCCTGAGCCTCTTCTCAAGGTTGAACAAACCAAATTCCCTCAGCCCTTCCTCATTCCTATGGATGGGTCCTGACCCTATGGATGTGTCCTGGTTCTATGGTGACCCTTGAGCCTCTTCTCCAGGCTAACCAACCCAACTTCCCTCAGCCCTTCCCCACTTTGCTGCCCTCGTTGCCCTTGGCTGGACTCTCTCCAGAGCCTCAATGGCCTTTGGGCAGTGAGTGCCCCAAGCTGAGCACAGCACTGAGCTGGGACCTCCCCAGTGCCCAGTCCAGGGGGATAAGCACTGCCCTAGTCCTGCTGCCACACTGGGCCTGAGCCAGGCAAAGATGCCCTTGGCCACCTGTGCACACTGTTGGCTCCCCCCGAGCTGTGCTACCAGCACTGCCAAGGCCCTTTTGGAGGAACAAAGACCTGTGTGTGCTCCCCTTACATACACTTTTACAGGCTCCCTGATGCCTTTCCCTCGCGTGCCCAGACCGTGTCCCTCCTGCCAGCCCATCTTCTGCAGCATCTGGAAGCCCACATTCCTGTGTGTCAGCCTCTTGTGGGAGAACTCCAGATCTTTAGGTTTCTATGGAGAGGGAGAAACAGACAAACAAAGGGAGTTTGTTAGCCAGGGAGATCATGGATTAAAAATGCCTCCAATCCACCCCCAGCGCGACGTGAACGGAGTGAGTTTGAGTTTCTGCACAGACAGAAATATCTGCTGAGCAGCACTGCAGGAGCTGCACAGAAACAAGGCTAGCCAAGGGGAACACCTGTATGGCCAGGTAAAAAAACCATCTGCTTCAGGGTCTAAAGTTGTTTAGCTACAACATTAAAACAGCAAAGAATTCACCTCTGTGTTTTTAAGGCAATTATGCTTTTACCAACAGATATGGAAGGGTCTGATGGCTGAATCCTGTTACACACACAGAGGCAAATAACATCTCACCAATCTTGAAAACCTAGATGGATTTTATTGATTCCTTCCTTTTCCCTTCCCTTATTTTCCCTTCCTTTTCTTTCCCTTTATTTTCCCTTCCTTTTCCTTCCCTTTATTTTCCTTTCCTTCCCTTTCAGACTAACAGCTTTCCTAGCCATGACATGTCTCATCTTGGCCCAGACACTTCACACCCAAACCCACCAGGACCCACAGCTCTGCTCAGATTTATCCCACACTTTCCCAAGCCCAAACCAAACCCTGAGGATTCTTCCAGGCTCAGGTAACTCAGGTTTCAGTTGGATTTCATGGCAGGGACAGGGGCTGGCTGCTGCAAACCCAGCCAGGATTGCTCCTCACCTTCTTCTTCTTGACCACGGGGCAGCCCCGGGGCCTGTCGTAGGCGATTCGCACGGGCTCATGCACTGCAAGGCAAACCAGAGCCAAAATTCAGCTGCCAAAACACATTTCAATCCAGAAACCCAAACCACAGCTCAGGTGGGACTTCCACTCAACACCCTGGCTTGGAATCAGAACCACCAAAACGCTCAGAACGAAGTGAAAGGAAGAAATTAGATCTATACTCAGAGGGTGTTCGAGGAATGAAGTTTGACACCAACTTTGCTGTTGAATATATCTGAACATCTGTGAACTGTAACACAAAACCTGTGACAGGATTTATTCAGGTTCTCCTTACCTGAATATTTAAAAGTGCATGGTGGATTATTTCTGTAGCGAAGAAATGTCACTTTTTGCAGTAGTTGCAGAGGGAAAAAGTTTATCAAAGGGTATAAATATCTATTTCAGGGCCTCAATTTGTTTAAGTGCATTACTGAAACAGCAATGAATTCACCTTTGGGTTTGGAGAGGAGTTTAGGAGTTAGGTGCAGTTTAAAAGGGAATGCTGGAGTTTCTCAACTTCAAAATGAAATTTCTTTCATCCAAGAAATGGAAGCTCTGGCCAAGAAATGGAATTGGTATCAAAGAAATGGAATTTCTACATAAGAAATGGAATTTCTGTTGAAGTTCTAGTAAAGAAATGGAAGCTAAGAGTTTCACTCCATGACCCTCATGGGTCTCTCCCAACGCTGAATATTCTGTGATTTTGGGTAATTCTTTCAGCCAATAACAACCAGCAGCAAAACAGCTAAAATCCAGGAATTCTGCCCTGGAAAGGACAACATTTCCCTTCAGCAACACTGACCTTTTGGCTCCTCTATGAGGCAGATCCTCTTGGATGCAGGGATCATGCCAACCTTCAGGGACTTGCTGCTGATGCGCTTGCGAGGGAAGAGGCTGCCAGGGGCAGGAGGTGCCTGTGTTGACAGATTTGGTACAGCCCCATCAGCTGAGCTGGAAAGCTGCATTTCCCCTGAGGGAATTTCCTCTCCTGGTTTGGAAATCATCTCTTCACTTAGGTTTTCCACACTTCTACCTGCTGCCATGTCATCCTCTTCTCCCTCCTCTGTTTGCTCCATTTCTTCTGAGGGTTGGGAGATTTCCTCCTCAAACTCAGCTTCCTCCTCGTTGTCTTCTTCCTCTTCTTCCTCCTCCTCTTCCTCTTCAGAGATATCCAGGTTCCTGTCTCCAGCTTTAGCACTCTCCCCAGCATCAGCTGCCTCAGGCACAGCACTGAAGTTGATGGAAGGACACAACTCATAGACTTTCATTCGGTAGAACTTGAAGGCAGAACTGTTTCGATCCTGGAGAAACCTGAGCAACAGTCACAGGGGAAACAGTATCAGAGAGAGATTTCCCTTAGCTGGGATGAAGCAAGACATCAAAAAATCACTCTCTGATTAATTTCTGAGGGCTCATTCCAGGTGTGTTTGTGCAGAACTGGAGGATTCCCCAAGCACAGGCACCACAAACAGCAATGATTCTCTTCGATTCTTGCACTGATGTTTCCTTGCACTTCCCAAACTGTGCTGGGAAAGAATTCAGCATAGTTAACCCTCCCAATCCTTGGGCAGAACATTGGTGCAAGATTCAAGCTGATTGCTTAGGGTGTCAAAGGAATAAACACATCTCTCAGCGCATGGAGGCACTGGGAGAAGTGGGTTTGGCTCTTGGGGGGTTCAGATATTCACCATTAATGGAGGTGCTGAAGACAACAGGGAGAATTGCCCCAAATCCTCTGTTCCTAAACACACTGGATAAAAACAGACATTCAGCAAACAATTACAGGCAAGGAAAAAAACCCCCACCCCAAAAAGCAGCATTTTGGTGTTTCTGATCAGCTCATTGACAGCCCAATGCAGTTACTCACCACAGGTCTGGGTTATCTGCACTGTTGTCTATGCTGAACTGCTCGATTTCTGGTCCTACCTGAGCAACAAACTTGGCAAGTTTCTCTGCAGTTTCCATGGTTTTGGCATCCACTGCAAGAAACAGAATGTTCTCTTAGCTCCCTCCAAAACCTGCATCACTGGGAGGTCAGGTGAGAAATATCTACTTCAGCAAAAGAATTTCCAGCAGAAAATTTTCTCTTAGAGCAGATTACATGAGGAAATTTCATTGCATTTCTTTTCATTCTATGAGAAATTTCAAATCTCATCCTGAATCTTCACTTACCATCAGGAAACTGAGAGGCCAAAGGTGGGAAAAGCTCTGGTGACGTGGCCAGTTCCTCAGATTCTGTCCTTTCCTCTGCTGGCAGAGAGGCCTCGGAGCTGGTGGCACCCTGTGAGGTGGTGCTGAGGGAAGAGCTCTTCTCAGCCAGGCTGGATCCTGACACAGAATCCTTTGCCTGCTCTGAACCTGGAAGATGTTTGTCTTGGTGCTTCAGCACTGTTCCAGCTGACAGCACAGTCTGTGTCCCTATGGTTGCTCTCCTCACCTTCCTTCCTCGGGTACCATGCTGGGGGATCATTCCAAGCTTTTTCCTTTTAAACAGTCTTCTCTTAATGCTTGCAACTCTCCTGGCATACAGCATGGCCCTGACTGACTCTGTGGCAGCTTCTTGGGGTGTCCTGCCCTCCCCTCCTGCCTCCTTCCCTGCTGCCAAGTGCCTCTGTGTCTCTGACAACTTCAGTCTGTAATACTTGTACTCCAGACTGTCCTCATCAGACAGGAACCTGCAGAGAATCACACAGACAACATGAAAGCCAAGCTGAAAGCACAACTAACTGGGATTTTCACGTCAGAAATGCAGCAATCCATCCTTTTTCTCCAGCTGTTTACACAAGCTGCTGTGCTAATGTGAGCCTGAGCAGGTTTTGCTTGCAGTAACAGCCAAGTCCACGTGTAAAGCAGCAAGCAAAGTGTGCCAAGCAGATAAATAATGGAGGGGTTTGACATCAATCATCTGGGTGGTAATTAATCAGCTATGCTGCAGCTCACACATGAAGAGATCCTGTCATATTAAAGGATCATTACACTTGGAAGTGTCTCAGCTTTCCTTTTTCCAGTATTATTCATAGAACACTAAATCCCTGAGCCTGTTACCTTGCTGGATGTTTCTACCAACTGCATTTGCCTCCCGTGTTCATCTCCTAACTGCAAATTGCTTCTAGCATGTTGTGTTGGGAGTGACAAACAGTCAGGATTGACACATCAAAAGGCATGTGATCTACTAGACAAAACAGAGGCACCAGGACAACTTCCAGGATCTCAGGAAGTATAATTAGCTCAGGAAACGTTTTGAAGGAATCTGATTAAATATACAACAGGCTTTGATCTGTCACCCATGGAGTGAGACAATGCATCCAATTAAATCCATCCCAAATCACAGAATCATAGAATCAACTAGGTTGGAAAAGAGCTCCAAGAGCATCAAGTCCAATTCTCCCATGGTTACTAGACCATGGCACTAAGTGCCACATCCAGTCTCACCTTGAAAACCTCCAGGGATGGTGAATCCACCACCTCCCTGGGCAGCCCATTCCAATGCCTGACTGCGCTCTCTGTGTAAAAAAATCTCTTCCTAATATCCAACCTAACCCTCCCCTGGCAGAGCTTGAGTCTGTGCCCCCTTGTCCTGCTGCTGGTTGCCTGGGAGAAGAGACCAACCCCCACCTGACTACTTCATCGGCTTGTTCAGCAATACCCACACAGTTCAAACACACCCACCAGTACTCAGGGCAGTTCTTCTGGGCATTCC